TGGGAGCACTCGCCGCCATGCTCGCAGTAGTTGGGCAGACACCTAAAAAAGGTGCAGATACGTCACCATTGCTCACGTCAACACATCCTAAAACACTGATCATTGAACACACAGCCCGATAGAAGAATGCCAGCAGTCACATGAAGAGGAAATGCAACATAACGAATGGCTATCCAGACGTCGTTAGGGTACTGACGTCACAGAACGACACATCAGGTCGGTAGACTCGTCCAATTTCAACCTCTGCTCAGGGAGTTGTCACTGCTCAATTGTCACGTGACCCACTCTTTCAAAGACCCTGGTTTCCCCCTAAATGGCCTGCTGTTGTTTCAATAGGAGGTCAAGAGTATTAAGTGCAAAATTAAAATGCTCGAGGACACAGGCATACCTCTCTTTATGCTCTTCGCAGATAGAGCCCTTTTTACATCTGCTGCTCTGTGGCAACCTCGCATGAAGAGCAAGTCCCATGGCACCATTTCCCCGACAGCACGTGCTCTCTATGTCTTTGTGCCACATGTTGGTCGTTCTCAAAATATTGCAAACTGTCCCAAACACTGCTTCCTGCTCCAGAGACTACAGTCTGGTCTAAACATAATGTTGATGCTGCTAAAATTATAGATGGCGGTGGTGGATGGATTATTCATATGGCCACTCTAGCCAAGGTCGTGTCACCCCTCCCAAGTGTTTGGATGGGAGGTAGGTGGCTGTGGCCTCCTAGAGGAATCAGGCATTCCTGCACATCCAAAACTCATTGCCATCTAGCCGATTCCAACTAATACTGACCCCTCCAGGACAGAATAGACATGCCCCTGTGTGTTTCCAAGACTGCCCATGTTTACAGTAGAAAACCTCAGCTTCCACTAGAAGAGGGCCTCTGGTGGTTTCAAACTGCTGACCTGATGGTGATCAAGCCAATGAGGAACCCACTACTTCACCAGGGCCCCTGATAAGGCAGACAAGGTGGGCCAAAGTATCCCCAGCCATCTGAGACACATGCTGCCCTCCTGGTACCTGACCATGCCCTGCTGTCTACTTTCAGATGCACCGGGAAGCCCCACATTTTCATGACTCTCTTTATTGTGATATTCACTTTAATGATACTTGTTTTGATCTCAGTGGTCTGGAACCGAACCTGCACTATCTCTGTAGTCTGGCTGCACAAAATGACTACATTATGTGAATGCTAAAAGAGAGAACAGATTGATGTTTTTTGGTTTTGGGTGCATTTCAGGGAACAGGAAAAATCAAGAAACTAGAGGGGAGGAACACCTTTCTCCACTTAAACATAATCCTCCAGGAATGTTGACGGACACTTCCCGTAAGGCTGCAAATCACAAGTTTGGTGTCCAGATGTCCCAGGTTACTGCTTTGACCTCACAGGGCCTCCTACAATATTTTCACATGTCAAGAGAAATACCAGGGGAAATCACCAATTGCCCACCTGTATTTGAGGTGTTCAGGCAGGCACAGGGCCTCATGGGAGTATCTGCTTCCTTGGAAAGCATGCTGGGATGTCTGTCAAAGGGTGCCTACGTGAGGTCGTTCAGTTTCAACATTAGGTTGCACATTCAGGTTCAACATTAGGTTCCTTTCAATGGCATTCCATCTTTGTGGAGCTGAGTTTTGAGCAGGTCCTGGATAAACACAAGGGCCATGCAAAACCAGCAGGGGACCACAAAGGAGGGTAGCAGTACCCAAGTGGATACCAAGCTTTGAGATGTTGCGCCACGCCCAGCTGGTCCAGACAGCTGATCACTAAATAATTTGGGGTCATTCAAAATGAAATGAAATACTATCTTTTTTATAAATGACATATATTAATTTTTGGAAGGCCATTTTTAAGTGATGGAGGAGCCCGGGTGGCACAGTTGCTACAGAACTTGGCTAATGGGAAGGGCAGGGGCTTGGACCCACCGGTTACTCTGCTGGAGAAAGATGGGGCAGCCAGCTCCGGAATGATTACACGCAGGGTCTGAAGCCCTATGGAGCGGTTCTACTCTGCCCTGCAGGGCCACTGGGAGTTAACATCACCCTGACGGCAGTGGGATTGGTTGTCTGGTTTTCTGAAGGCATTAGAGTATAAATACTTAGTAAAATTGTTTGGGCCCAAATCACTTACTAACCAGCTTGCTCAGGCATTTCTTTGGGCTTAGAGAACTGTATAAATATTGCTAAGGCATCGAGGGCACCACAAACTGAAAATGTTTGACAACTTCTGGCCTTGACGTAAGTAGCCCTACTCAGATTCTTGATGCCTTTCAGAACGATGGCCCTTGTGGAGAAGCAGGTTACATGTTGGGTTGCTAACCTTAAGGTCAGTAGTTCAAACCTATCGGCTTCCCCAAAGCAGAAAGCAAAGCTGTCAGCTCCCATAAAATTGTACCTCTTTGGAGACCCTCTATAGGGTGACTATGGGTTGAAACCAACTCAATGGTAGTGGGTATAGTTTGGGGTTTTGATTTGGAATCAAATTCAGAATTTAAAACAAGACCAAGGCTTTAAATATCTTCTTTCATCTCAGGTTAAAGAATTTGCTATCAAATCTACAAAGGTTGTATTTTGTGAAGCAGTTTCTGACACTTTTCCTTTATTAAAATTAAGCACTGACACTAGCTTACTTACAGGAGTTCCCCAATTTTACTTGTTCTTGGTTATTAGAAAAACAAATGGCCACTATTGAAAAAGCAAACACTGAAAAAGCATCGATTAGAATTATCCACCATATTGCTACATGGACATCACCACTACAGACACACCTACAGACACTCGCTTCGATAGACAATGATCACAAATCTAAA